CTGAAACTCCAAAGTAAGAAGAAAACCTCTAATCTTGTTAAACCAGGCTCTTGGGGCCTGTTTGAGACCATAAAGTGACTTGGTAAGCTTACAAACAGCAGTTGGATGAGTGGAATCTACAAAGCCCTCAGGTTGAGCCATGTAAACAGTCTCATTTAAGTCACCATTTAAGAATGCATTATTGATGTCTATTTGTTGAATAGACCAAGAATATGTAGCTGCAAGGGAAAAAATCAATCTGATGGTGCTAGCCTTAACAACTGGGCTAAAAGTTTCAAGGAAATCAACACCAGCCATCTGTTCAAAGCCTCTGGCCACTAACCTAGCCTTAAGCTTGTCAACTGAACCATCAAGGTTGTACTTAGTTCTGAAAACCCATTTGTTAGTAATGACCTTCATATCAGGACTAGGATCAACCAAAACCCATGTATTGTTTGATTGCAAGGCCAGAAACTCAGCCTTCATTGCTGCATACCACTCAGGCTTAGATAATGCATCTGCTGTGGAAGTTGGCTCTAAGAGAGGAATAGAAGTCAGTTGAGCAGAAAAGGATTTAGGCTTAAAAATGCCAGCCTTGGATCTAGTGATCATAGGGTGAGAAGATTTAGGAGAAGAGGGATGATTTATAGGAGAAGAAGAGGATGAAGGAGAGGAAAATGGTAACTGAACAACAAGAGGAATAGCAGGTAAAGAAGAAGAGGAGGATAAAGAGGGAGAAATATGAGGATTAACCATAGGAGGAGTGGCAGCCAAATTAGGAGCAGTTGAAGAAGATAAGAGAGGAGAGGAGGGCAGTAATGGTGGAGGAGTAGCAGACAAAGTAACTGCAGGTAAGGAAGATGAAGAAGGAATAGATGGAGAGGTGCAAGAAGAAGAAAACAAGGACTGAAAAGGAAATTCATGCTCATTGAAGGAGACAGTAATGGCTATATAAGTTATGCCCTCAGAACTAAGACACTTATAACCTTTATGATGAAGGCTATAACCAAGAAAAACACATTTAGAAGATCTAAACTGAAATTTATTGGAGTTATAGGGTCTGAGGTAAGGAAAACATGCACAACCAAAAGGCTTGAGAAAGGAGAGGTCAGGAGGAGAATTAAAAAGACACTGAAAAGGAGAATGTTGATGAAGAACAGGAGTGGGGAGCCTGTTGATGGTGTATACTGCAGTTTGGAAAGCATCCCACCAGTATTTGAGAGGAATCTTAGCATGAGCAAGGAGAGATAGCCCCATCTCAACAATGTGAAGGTGCTTTCTCTCAGCTCTGCCATTTTGTTGGTGAGTATGGGGACAAGGGTGTCTAAAGGATATGCCAAGAGAATTAAGGAAAGGAACTAGAGGTCTATATTCACCCCCCCAGTCAGATTGAACACATTGAACAGTGGTGTGAAATTGAGTTTGAACAAATTGAACAAATTGCTTGAAAATAGTAGTAACATCAGCTTTGGATTTTAATGGGAAAACCCAAGTATATCTGGTGAAATCATCAATTATATGCATGTAATATCTATATCCATCAACAGATAAAACATGTGAAGGCCCCCAAACATCAGTATGAACCAGCTCAAAGGGCTTGGAAGTTTTTGTAGGCTGAGACATAAAATGTTTTTGATGCATCTTGCCAAGTTTACAATCATCACAAAAAGGTAAGGAAGAAGGTACAGAAACATGAATATTGTGTAAAACTGTTCTAAGGACATTTTCACAAGGATGGCCAAGCTTTCTATGCCAACTGAGCAATACATCATTAGAAACAGACTTTGTACATGACAAAAATTTATATATATAATATCATGCGTTTATACCAACAATATTAGATGTTAATTGTGATACACTGATACCAGATTACGATGATTATACCTAAAGTAAAATAGAAATTTATATAAAAAAAAGTAAAGTAAAAAATAAAAAGGTTGCAAATTCTAAGACTCAAGCCTTTGCTTGAAGGCTATCTTTTCAGTTATACCACTTAACCTGAAAAAGCAAAGCAAAGCAAAACCGCAAGCGACCAATGGAAAACAATTGCAAAACTACAAAAAAAGATAAAACGGTCAGGCACGGCGGCCGCCATACTCACCGGCGACAGCGAATTCCACCGGAAAATCCACCCGCGGCGTCCGGAAGCTGAGCACAGGGCTGTAACCGCCGCATCTGTAGTAATAAGTCGTGCCCGGCTCCAATGGCCCGATTTTCACGTGGTGAATTTTACCCGATCGG